GAGGATACTAGGAACCATGAGGCTATCTCGGGCTCATCTTAGGAACAATTAGATCCATGAGTCAGGTGAGAACTGCTCACCCTGCTGGTGACTTGGAATCATCCTTCTAGAGCTAGCCTGATGGAACCTATTTCTGCTCCCAGATTGCTTGAAGAAATGACTGCAATTCTTCTCTCTGCCCATGTTTCTTGTTTTTAATACCTTTATCTTATTTATCATTTTATGTGGTGCTGAGGATCAAACCCAGGGCCTTGAACATGCTAGGCAAACATTATACCTCTGAGCCAGTGCTCCAAGCCCCTCTGCCCATAATTCTTGCCAAGTGACTGCAGCTCCTCCATAAAGAGATGGGATCTGTTTCCCCATCTCCTGAATCAGAGCAGGCTTTGTGACTTGCTCTGGCTAACAGAATTCAGAATTCTCTTGCAAATCTAAGCCTCCTGTACAAAACTCCCTGTATGCCTCTGCACTGTTTCTTAGAGTCCTTCCAGTCAAAGTATGAACAAGTCTGGGATGGACTAGAGACCATATAGAACAGAAAAGAACTGAGGTCATCCTAGAAGAGCCAGTTCCCAAACCACCCAGTAGTTTACAGACACATGAGTGAACTTGGCCATTGTCAGAAGACCTACCCAGACCCAAAGAACTACCCAACTGAGTCTTACTCAAAATGCCAACCCAAAAATACAAAGCTAAATAATTTAGTGGTGGCGATTTAAAATCCCTAACTAAACTGACATGTTAGTTAAGCAGCAAAGTCTCACTGATATAGTCAGGAATGGATTCCAGGGACATTTACTAAATACCTTATGGAGCAGTTAATAGGTATACAAAGATTAACACACATGAATGCCTGCAATTATAGTCATTTCCTTCTAACCACACTAACAGATATAAGTAACAAGGTCTACTACTCAAGAGAACAGGAAGGCTCATAGAGGCCACATTTGAGGTGGTTCTTAAAGGAAAAACAGTAATTTTCCAGGTAGACAGGCCAGCACGTCAGAAGTAGAAGAAACAGCATGTGAAAAAGCATAGATGCAGGAAAGAACTCAAGGAATGTTCTAGGAATGGAAAATAGTTTAGGACAGATGGAGTGTAGGGCGGAGATGGCAGATGAAGGAGCAGGAAAAACAGATGGAAGGCAAATAACGAAGGGTCTCATATTGTAAATCATGCTATCGGATTTGAATGCCTCTTGTAGGCAGTGGAGAACCACAAATCATCTTTAAGGAGAAAATGGCATGATTAAATCTGTTTTAAGGAAAGAAAGCTGATGACAAGTGGAAGATGGATTAGAGGCAAGAGTACAAATCAGAGAGACCAGTTGGGAGGCTATTACCACATCCTAAAGGGGGAATTAAAGAACCTGAACCACATGACAATGATGAGATGTCTTTGAAAAATTTCTCAGAGACTGAAGGAGAAAAAGGCTCAGAAGCCTTGACGACCAACTAAATATGGGCTGAGAGGGTGATGAAAGTTGTGTGGGAAGATCAGGGCCAGTTCCAAGATTGCTACTTCAGAATCCTAGATTCAGGATAAACAGATTAATGAAGGCAGGAAAGCAGAAGAGGAGACTGAAAAGGTACATCCATGTTTCCTATGAAAGCACTTGTGGGACACCCAGAAGGAAATGTCTAGGAGGCAGTTAAGGATACAGATCTGGACCCCGAGTTGAGGGACAGGTAGTAGAAGCAAGAGATAAGGACCTGAGGGGATCTAAGAACAACATGGGGGAAGGAAAGGAAAGCAGATCAAGTGATGAAAGTGAATGTGAAGCCCACATGGTGGCACATGCCTATAATCCCAGCAACTCAGGAGGCAGAGGCAGGAGGATGAAGAGTTCAAAACCAGCCTCAGCAACTTAGTGAGATGCATCTTAGTGATATCTGGGGATATGACAAAGCACCCCTGGGTTAAATCCCCAGTAACCACCCCCCGCCCCCCCCAAAAAAGTGAATACAAGATATTCAGGGAAAAGATGCAGATGCTGAGGAGAAAAAGCTAATGAATGGCAAAATCCTAAGAGACATTCAAATTTCAGGGGCTAAAAAAATGTAGATCAAATTGGCAGCAATGGTCCTTGGAGGAAGTGTGGATATCCACCCATTTTGCCACATTCTTTCCTATAGCTAAATCTTCACCATACTCTTCCCTGTGATTCATCCTACCCAAGAAGGGCCCAGTGTATAATTAGTGACAGAAGTAGACAGTGGGGGTCACTTTAGTATTAATATCTACATCCAATGATCTTATTGAAAAAACACATATTTTCCCAAACCCATTTTATGCCACCTGCTGTAACAAAGAATAACTTCCATCTGTAGGGCACATATTTGAAATATACTTGCACAAGTTGAGCCTCCCTAATCCCAAAACTAAAATGCTCCAAAATCTGAAGTTCCACACCAACCCTCATGTGATGGGTCAGAGTCAAAATATAGATGCACTAAAAATATTAGGTTCATCTTTTGTTGTTTTTTTTTTTTTGACAGTGCTTGGTGCTAGGCAAATGCTACACCACTGAGCTACATCCCCAGTTCTTATACATATATATATAGAGAGAGAGAGAGAGACAGGGTCACACTAAGTTGTTTAGGGTCTCCCTAATTTGCTTAACCCTAGATCTCATTTCAAAGATAGCTTATTATGCATATGCAAACATTCCAAGCCCTGAAAAACACTTCTGGTCCCAAGCATTTCCAATAAGGGATAGTCAAACTGTAGCTAATTTATGCCATATTCCAAATAAATTGTCTTCATCTTTTTCATAACTAAAAAGGTTTTTAAAAATAACTCTGGGGACTGTAGGTCCAGCAGTCTTCCCTAGCCCCATGGTACCAGCTAGCATCCCAGGTTCAGGGACTGCAAAGGTACTATTGGGTAAAGGATGTAATCGGAATGCTCTCCTTCATACCATCCATAGAGCCCAACCTCTGTGTGGTAGGCTGAAAGTTCATCATGGCAGCTGGAACCCTCCACCTGTCACAGGTGTCTGTGGTTAATAGACAGATGGAAAGGAGATAAGGGAGGGAAAGAAGGGGAGGGGAAGGAAAAAGGGGAGGGGGAGGGGGGGGGGGGGTGGGGCCTTGATGGGGGGCAGGAGGGAGGGGGGGGC